GTCTACCAGAGCGTTGTGATTGTTGGCTTCAGGGGTTTCGATCTGCTTGGTCGCAAGATCCTCCGCGGCTCCCTGGTCCACCTTGCGCAAGGTGAGGTAGGAGGGTGGACGCTTGACCGTTTTGGGCGGCGGCTCGGCGACCAGGTCGCACGGGGCAGGCTTGTGTCCTGCCCGCTCTCGTCGGAACATTGCCGCCTCACGTTCTCGGCTAGGGAGCCGCCGTCCATGCTCACCTCGGCCGCGCCCTCTCTTTGTACCCCGGCTGCCCCGACCCCAACCTGCAGGGCAGGAAGACCTGGCAGAGGCGCGATTGAAGGAAGCGGCGTCCCAGGGCTTCTCAATGGCCCGGCTGCGCTTCGTGCGCTTGTCATGGTCGAAATCAATCATCAGCCCCTCCTTGGAACCCTGGAAGCAATGTCCTTGATGGCGCCTCATGGACTGCGTAGCCTGTACCTCGGACCCGAAGTCCACAAAGGCCATCTTGCGCGAACCTCCAACTGCCCTCAGGCCACAGAAGCCCTCGTCTTTGGAGAACAGGTCTGATACATCTGCCGCGGTCGTGCCATCCGGGATATTGGTCACATAAAGCGTCAATGACCTTTCAGTGCTGGTCGTTTTGCCGCTGCCAGTCCACATTGCGCTGGCTGCGTCAGTCAGCCTAATTCTTGTTTCAGCATGATAGACCTGAACCCTAAACCAGTGTGAGCAACCACCATGAGCTCCAACCTGAAATCACCTTATTCCCGCAGCCACAGCTTGAAAGCTTAAGCAGCCAACTTCCAGAAAATAGGCTTTTGAGCAGCTGACGCCCACCAGCGAAACCGCAATGTAGGGCTTAGGGTTTAGGGGCTTATAGGGTTTAGGGGTACCTTACAAATAAATCTGACCGCACAGATCCACTTTGTGGTACTGAAGGTGATGAAGCTGGAAATTCTGCAGCATGGAAAGTGTCATGCGCTCAGTTCTCCCTTTCTTGGTGCCCGGAGCCCAACAAGGGGCGGCAGCATTTACCCTAAACCCTAACCCCTAAAACCTTTTTTGCCCTAAACCCCACCCCCCTCCCCCCCCCCCATGGTATCCCTTGCTGCAAAATGCAAGGACCTCATGCGCCCTCCCTCCCCCCTCCTCCCCTCCCGCCCCTAGCCCTAAACCCTAAACCCTAAACCCTAAACCCTCGACCCTCAACCCTAAACCCCCCCTCCCTGTGTGGTGACGCGCCTTCGCTTTGACTGGGGCCTTTGCCTTCGCCTTGCCATTTGCCGCAGGTGCCCCGGACACCTTCGAGGAGAACGCCTGACTCCACTGCTCGTTGGAACCAGCAAGGGGTCCCCTAAACCCCAAACCCTAAACCCTAAACCCTAAACCCTAAACCCTAAACCCCCAAACCCCTAAACCCCTAAACCCTAACCCCCCGATCCTGTTCAGTTGGGAAGTCGGCCACGACAAGTGCAACTTCCACCACCCTCAACCCCTACTTGGAGGTTCGTGGGTGCTAATCGGGGTTTAGGGTTTAGGGTTTAGGGAATATACCTTGAATCATATTCTACTCATTGCTTAAGAACCCCGAAAAAAAGTAGTTTTAGGGCTTGGGTTTTAGGGTCTACTCGATGGTTCATGGCTACTTATAACCCCGCTTATAAGTACCCACAAACCTTCAACATACAGGCGGTCTAGGGTATAAACTCGAAGCCTGGATGCCTTGGACAAAGCATCCAGCTCGTAAGTTTTGAACCCATCATGTGCACTACCTAATATTCATGACTGGTTATTTGGGCCCGCTCGAAACCCTGTTTGCTTCTTCTTTATACGTCACCCTCCGTGAAACCGGAGGTTCCTTTGTCAGCCCTCTACATTATGCGCATGACTTTCTCGCACCCGGCCTCTGCTCCATGGCCTCAAACCCTAAACTTACCTTAAACCCTATAAACCCTACAAGCCCTACAACCCCCCCCCCCAAAAAACAAAAAAAAAAACCCTAAACCCTAAACCCCAAAACCCTGGACCCTAAACCCAAAACCCAAAACCCTAAATTGACCCGAAACCCTAAACCCTAAATTGACCCTAATCCCTAACCCCTAAAACCTAAACCCTACCCTACAAACCTACCAGCAGCTAGCAACCCTTATTTTGGGGAACCTCCCCCGTGTCACTTTACGGAATTGCGGGACGGGGCGCAGCTCGTCCACCTCCCCGGCCTTCACAAGCAATGCGGGTGGGACTTTTGGGGGTTTAGTGTTTAGGGCTAGGGTTTAGGGTTTAGGGTTTAGGGGTTTTGGGGTTTAGGGTTTGGGGTTCAGGGTTTAGGGTTTAGGCTTAGGGTTTAGACTACCTCATGTGGCTTGGAATGGTTTTATGGGCACTTAGGCGAGTACCCCATGAGCCCTGTGACGTAAACAGTGGCAACTAGAAAGCCCAATTGCGCCAGAGTTAACGAATACACAATTGGGGTGTACTGGGCTTACTGGGTATTGCAACTACATACCTGCTTCTACGCAGTCAC